TTTAACTCATGTTGTGTATACATTTTTGAGAAAGGTATGCTTATTTTGGGGGTGGGGAACATGCCACAAGATCCATGTGGAGGTCAGAGGGCAAGTTGCGGGAGTCAGTGCTTTCATTTCACCATGTGGGTCCTGGGATCAAACCCCGGTCATGGAACTTGGCAGCAAGGGCCTTTATTTACTGAGCCATCTCACCAGCCCCCTGAATATACATTTTGTTATTAAAAAATCTTTCAAGCATTCAGAAAGCTTAAAAGAATTGTGCAGTCTGTCTGGGCATGGTGGTCTATATTCAGCGCTTGGGAGGCAGAGCCAGGAAGACCAAGAGCTCCAGGCTAGCTTGGGCTACACAGCAAGTTCCAGGCTGTGAGAGGCTATACAGTGAGACTCCACTTCGAAAAACTAGCAGCTACAACAAACAAACAAAAAGAAGAAAGAAAAGTACATATGCACGTACGACCTGAAGCCCATGGTGAGCACTGTTTAGTATTTTTGCTCTGTCTTATATCTGTCCTTCCACCCGTCTCTCTGTGCATGCTTCTACCCATCCTCCTCCACCCCATCCCTCCCTCATCCATCTCCCTATCCAGTCCACCTCCAGGCAACAAATGTGAAGACTGAGCCTAGTAATATTTATTGTCTTCCTTTCTCCCCACACTAAGATATCCTGTTTCATACATGCACATGCTAACACCCACATGTATACACACTGCATGTGACTCACTAACATCCCAAATTCACCCGTGCACTCTCCGTGCACGTAGCCACATACATCCTCGCATCAAGCATTGCCTTGCTCTGTGCGACGCACCTTTGCTCAGAGCAGACTCCTGAGCACCTTTGCTCGGCTGCGTTCAGAGCAGACTCCCGATGTCCTCAGGGAAACATCTGCAGACCCTCGCCATCTTCATCTCTAACAGCACCCCGCTATTTGCCCACCTCTTCCACCTTCGTCAGCCTTTTCTTTCTCATCCCAGACTCCTTCTACCCTCTGGAGTGGGGAACAGGGCCGACTAGATCATTCTCTGTCGACCAACAATGACTATCAGCATGGCTGCCGCTTCATCCTCAGCATCCAGGCCACACCCTGCCCTCTGAGACTGGTGGTTGAAAAAGGGTCCCAAAGTGGAACAGACATGTGTGTGCTGGACATCTGCACACGAATGATGCCACATGTGTATCCCATACATGTGTTGAACATGCACTGTGAATACACATCTGGCTGTCTCTACACATGCAGATGTATTGCTATGTTGTCATTTCCGTCAGAGTCTGTCTTTCCTTCCTTCCTTCCTTCCTTCCTTCCTTCCTTCCTTTCCCTTTGTTTTCTCTCCTCCTTCCCCCTCCCTCCTCCCTTCTCTTTGCCCTCCTTGCCTCTCCCTATTTTCTTTCTTCCCCCTCCTTCCAAGCCCCCTTTCTCCTTTTTTTTTTTTTTTTGTTTTGTTTTTTCGAGACAGGGTTTCTCTGTGGCTTTGGAGGCTGTCCTGGAACTCACTCTGTAGACCAGGCTGGTCTCGAACTCACAGAGATCCACCTGCCTCTGCCTCCCGAGTGCTGGGATTAAAGGCGTGCACCACCAACGCCCGGCCCTTTCTCCTTTCTTTTCTTCTTGCTTTTTGAGTTTTTTTGAGACATGATCTCACTCTGTAGTCCAGTTTAGCCTCAAAGTCATGGCAACCCTCCTGCCAAGTACTGGGACCACAGGCATGAGACGTCATGTTCCTGAATTGTCCTCAAACACCTTGGTCACCTAACAGGCATGCAATGTACAGATGCGGCTCTAAGACCATATGCTCAGTGTTCTCAGCTGAACACCTGGCAGCAGGGTTTAAACACTGCAGCTCTGATGTCCCATCCTCTGGAAGGACATGGGTTCCATACCGGCTCTGCTCCACTGGGTACGTCCCACCTTTGGTACGTCTTACAGGAGATGCTCTTTGCCAAGTGCAGTAGCCATAGGCACTTGTGAACAGTTGTTGCCCATGTTGGGGTTGTTGCTTCAGCTCCCATGCACCTTTGAGAGGAAGGACCATCCTGGTTGGGAGTTTGGATGGAGAGAGCAAGGTAGATAGTGATTATGCCTCTTCCCAGGTGCTCCCCCAATCCCAAGCCCTCATTACCCTACATGCATATTCATAAGGGATGGCCTCATCTCTACTCTGTAAATGGGTCATGAGCAGGAAGTAGAGGCCAGTGCAGAGATCTGAGGCCCAGAGGACAGGAGGCTCAAAGCAGGAGTGCAACTGAGTCCTCATGGACGGGAGGATGGTGAGAGGATTGGGTACCAGTGGATTGTGGGAAGTTAGGGGGCATTAAGGACTTGGGAGGGCCTAGTTCGTATATTTCAGATTTGTAAAGTGATAGTGTGTCAGAGAACACTGGGGCAAATGGCTTATGGAAGCCAGGGCTTTCTTGCTTTTGGGGACTATGGAGCTGAGCATGTCTCACCTGGGTGTTGGGCACAGGGGATGGACCAAATGGCTCTTGCAATTTTTCTCAATGAATGCAGTTTCCATGGCATTAAGTGGAGGAGCTGAATCAGCATCCTAGCACTCCTGTGAGGCTCGGGGAGGCTGGGTGACTTGTCATGGTCACACAGCTGCTGACTGTGATCTTGTCTTTGGAGGTGTGAGAGACGGTTATTCTAGTCCCGTACAGGAGGTTGAAGGTTGAGAGAAAATCTGATGGGGCTGAGGTTGCCAAGTCAACAAACCTTTCAATCCCCTTCTTTATAGCATAACCAGCCCCTGAGATAACCTGAGCAAAATGATTGTTTCCATTTTACAGATGAGAAGTGTGAGGCTGAAAGAGGAGGGGGCACCGGAACAGGACTACACAGTGAGTAGTCTGCATAGGGCTGGTTCTTTCCTACAGGGTGATGAGGGGGATTCCAGAGCCTAGCTGGCCTCAGTCTCAGGCCAGGGTAAGGCCAGGACCATGACAGCTCAGAATTCTGTCATGGAAATTTCCAGCCACGTTAATGCCCTCTCTTCTCAGAAAGCAGCTGTTCAGCTGGGCGGGCATGGTGACACATGCCTTTAGTCTCAGCACTCGGGAGGCAGAGGCAGGCAGAGCTCTGTGAGTTCGAGACCAGTCTGCTCTACAAATCAAGTCTAGGCTAGCCAAGGCTACACAGTGAGATTCTGCCTCAACCACCCCAGCACCCCCAAAAGCAATTACTTCTTAGACAATGCTTTCGGATCTCATACCTACTTTGTGGGGTTGAGCAGAGTAACCACCCATACTTTAGGGGAGGGGACCAAGGCAGAGTAGGTGAGGTGTCCCCAAGATGGCATAGGCGCTGGGAGGCTCAGACAGTGTAGGAACCCTAGCTGTCACCCCTCTGTGTCTCGGGCATCCTACCGTGCTGGGTCATGGAAAGGGGGTGCTACTGGTAGCACAGACACGGATTCAAACGGTGCCACAAAAGAGCGTGGCTCTTGCCTGAACTCTGATAAGGTGAATTATATGTGAGGGCCTTTTGTTCTGGAAGCGCCAGGGAAGTGGGCAGAGCTTCATTCCTAGTTGGGCCAGGTCGTAGGCTGTGGTCATGGTTCTCTTCATCCAGAAGATGTGGGATGTGAGCAGCTCTTTGAAGGCACCACCAGTGGATAAAGAAAAGGACTTTCAGGAGAAAGGCACCACACGGGCTGATGTGTGGAGGGGGGAAAGTGTAGGGTATTTGCAGAACTGCCCTGGCACAATTACCAGCTCAGCCAGGTGCTGTATGAATCACCCAGGGAAGCAGTTGGGCAAGATCTTTGGCCCCTGGGGCCAGCTAAAGCCTATGCACTTCCTTCCCTAACATTATATGATCTAGAGTTGATGCAGGAGAAGGCTGGGGGTGAGCTACCATAATTACAGATCTCTGCTCATCCCTGATGACCTGCCAGGATGTCCTCCTCCTAGTGACCCCCTGAGCTAGGAGGTTGTGGCTGCAAATGGATAAGGAGCAAGGAGTATTGAGGAGAGACAGAGAGACAGACAGACAGACAGAGAGACAGAGAGAGAGAGACAGAGACAGAGACAGAGAGACAGAGACAGAGACAGAGAGACAGAGAGACAGAGACAGAGAGACAGAGAGACAGACAGACAGACAGAGAGACAGAGAGACAGAGACAGAGAGACAGAGAGACAGAGAGACAGAGAGACAGGGAGAGACAGAGACAGACAGAGAGAGACAGAGAGAGACAGAGACAGAGACAGAGAGACAGAGAGACAGAGACAGAGAGAGACAGAGAGACAGAGAGAGACAGAGAGACAGAGAGAGACAGAGAGAGAGACAGAGACAGAGAGAGACACAGAGAGACACAGAGACAGAGACAGAGAGACAGAGACAGAGAGACAGAGACAGAGAGACAGAGACAGAGACAGAGACAGAGAGAGACAGAGAGAGACAGGGAGAGAGAGACAGAGGGAGAGACACAGAGAGAGAGACAGAGACAGAGAGACAGAGACAGAGAGAGACAGAGACAGAGACAGAGATAGAGATATAGAGACAGAGACAGAGAGAGAGAGAGAGAGAGAGAGAGAGAGAGAGAGAGAGAGAGAGAGAGAGAGAAGAGAGAGAGAGTGGCCCAAGGCAGGGCCAGCAGTTAGAAGAATAGGTAGGTGGAGAGGAGGTATGTATGAGGCTGGGGACCTTAAAGAGGACTGGATGATGAGGGCTTCTATTTATTGAGTACTTGCTGTGTGTTGTAACAGTCCCATGAGGTAAGTAACTTCATTTCAATAGTGGATACTGAGGCTTGGAGAAGAAAAGCAGCTCCCCCATCTTCCTCTTCCATCTGTCTGTCCCTCTCTCCTTTCCTCCCCCCGGCCCCCCGTTTCTTCTTTCCTTCCACAGAATCTTATGTAGCCCAGGCTGACCTAGAACTGGCTACGAAGCCATGGATGATCTTGAATTTCTAATCCTGACTCCACAGACTCCCGAGTGCTGGAATCACAGGCATGAGTCACCATGCCGTTTTATGTGGATCAAACCCAGGGCTTCATGCATGTTCTGTAAGCAAAGCACTTTACTGACTCAGCTTCATTACCGCCCTCCTTTTTATCCAATAATTTATCATTCAGCACCCATAGATCGAGCAAAGGTTTTGTGCCACAGTCCAAGGGAGTCACCGAGGACCACCTCTTAGATTCTTCCTGTATTAGTGACAGCTCCTGGGGTCCGGTCGGTCACACAATGGCCCTGGCGATGTTCAAATCCAGGTGTATTTTCCTATCCTCGCATTGGTTCAGGATACAAGCCTAGATCAGACAGAGTTGGGTGGGGTTGCGCCCGCCCACATAAGTACTTGGCTTTTCCCCATCTGAACCTCTTTCGGTAAAGTCTAGCTCCAGCACCTGTCCCAGGTGAGTCCTAGGAGGCCTCCGAGCGTGGCCGAAAAGTGTCGAGTGACTTCGGCAGGTGGGGCGGGGCCAGGGCGGGGCGGGGCCCTGGGTGGGGCCAGCCAAGCGCTTGGAATCTCACAGGATCCGGGATCCGAGGCTGGCGCCCGGCGCCCCGCTCAACCATGGGGGCCTGTCTGGGGGCCTGCTCCCTGCTCAGCTGCGTGAGTGCCCACCCCGTCCCTGCTGCGGTCCCGCTCACTTTTTCCTTACCTTCGTCCTCCAAGTACTTTCTTCTTTTTTGCTTCCTCCAAACTTGTCTTTCCAGGGCCCCATGGGCGCGCTTCTTATCCTCATCCCGCAGCCACTCGGCATCGGTAGCCGGGCGCTGGACAGCTGGTCGCCGCTCTGGTGACTGCGGGGGAGGGGTGGGGCGCGGCCGGACGCCCTGGGCGTCTCAGCTCCGGGAACCGGGACACTGAGGCCCGCAGCGGGTGCGGGGAGCCCCGCCGCCGCCGCGCGCGCCGCAAGTCGGATCGGCCTCCGGATGCGTGGCGCGTCTCTCTCCGGGGCGCGGGGACTCTTTGTGTGACTGGCAAAGTCCCGGCTCCCTTCTGACTGCGCTTCTGTCCCCCCGCCCCCCCGGTAGAGCCTCCGTCATTCTGTCTGTCCCTGTCGCCTGGCTCACTGGCTCAGTCTGTTCTTTGTGTTTGTCCTGCCCGCGTCCCTAGGGTTCGGGCTCAGTCTGTCTGTCTGAGCGTCGTAACCGACTCCGTCTGCATCCTCTCTCTGCGCGCAGTCTGGCCCGCTCTTTCTTGGGCACTCCCCTGTAAATGCTGGACCCTTCTCCTCCGGCCCGAGCTGGGAAACGGGTGGGGGTTGGGTATTACCCCCCTTCTGCTCCCTTGAGCGAGATTGGTGTCGGTTGTCACTGACCACCTGGGCCAAACTTTGGATTCGCGAAGACCTAGAAATCGAAGGAGGTTGTGTGTGCCCACCTGGTCGCCTGTATTGGGGACCAGGCGGGTGGCCAGCTCTGTTTTGGGGCAGCAACCAGCACAGGGGAGGGGATTCAGTCATACCCGGCTGGGAGGCCCATTCTTTCCCTTTCCCAGCCCCCTTTCCTTCCCTTCATTAAATCTGAGGTTCATTCAGACAGCTCCCTCCCCTTCTGGCCCCACACAAAGAGGGGCGGAGAGGGGCTCCAGCGGCTGACTGCTGAAGGAAGGCTCAGGACTTGCTTCCTTTGTCCCTGATTTGTGTGCGTGTTAGGAGTGGGTGCCCAGGAGAGAGCTGGGCATCTAGAGGTTTTCTTTGTAGTCATTTTCTGAGAGTGAGCTCAGTCTAGGCAGGCAATGGAGTGGGTCCCTGGACACAACTCTTGCCCTCTCTTGGGCCTCTGTTTCCATTGGCGTGTGTGTGTGTGTGTGTGTGTGTGTGTGTGTGTGTGTGTGTGTGTGTGTGTGCTGGTGATCATGAGCAAGGATATTACTTGCTGATATCCATGTCCTTTCCAGAGAATTGTTTCCTGGTTAGGGAGGGAGACCTTCCCACTCACAGCCCACAAGATTCACATCTGGTTTCGCCTGGTTACCCATGCCCTGCTTGGGTGGTGGGGGTTGTGAGGGCAGACTTGCCTGCCATTCCCTGTGTCTTGGTCTCCCCATCAGTGAGCTGCAGGCCACGACAGTGCTTCCCTTGGTATATATGCTGTTGGGGGAGATGGACAGGTGAGGGATGGAGACTGCCTCCCAGCTCCTGTGTACGGCCAGTGGGCAGTGTGGGAGCTGTGGTTACTTTGGAGAACATGTAAGTGGAGAATTCCATTTGGAGAACAGAGCCAAGACATGCTCTGAGTCACCCAGTGCACAGTTGTCAGAGCTGAGGCCAGACAGGCTTGCTCAGACCCTCAGTTTACAGGGGTTAGCTCTCTTGTCTCAGGACACACAGTGAAAATATGAGGGAATTACAGTCAGGTTTAAAATCTGAAGCCAGAGAGCTAGAGAGATGGCTCAGCAGTTAAGAACATCGGCAGCTAGTCCAGAGGACCTGGGTTGGATTCCCAATGCCCACATGGCAGCTCACAATTGTCTGTACCTCCATTTCCAAGGTATCTGGTGCCCTCTTCTGATTCCCTCAGGCACTGCACACTCACACACACACACACACACACACACACACACAGAATGCACAGACATACATGCAGGTAAAATGCTCATACACATAAAATAAAAAATAAATCTAAAATAAAAATTTAAAGTCTGAAGCCAGACATAGTGATGCATATCTATAATCCCAGTGTTCAGAATGTAGAGGCAGAAGAACCAGGAGTTCAAGGTCAGCTGCTACTACATAGTGAGTTTCAAGTAAGCCTGGGATACATAATTTTTAAAAAATCTGATTCTTGGCCCAGGCTTCTTCCCTCACTCCCCTCCCCCACTCTGGTTGCTTAGAGACATAGCTGGTCTAGGGCAGAGTAGGAAACCAGTTACTATCCAGTATCTGTAAGGGACTTGCCCCCTTCCTTTGGTGCCCTCTGACATTTAGTATGCCAGGTCCTGTATCAATGCCCTTGGTCATGTTGTCTCACTGATTCTCCCAGAAATCCTATGGCATTGTTATTCCATTTTACAGGTGACCATGCCAACAGTGGCCACCACCACACAGGAATGGAGCTATCTTGTGGCACAGGCCCAGCACTGCAAGAAAGACACTTATGTATTTATAAGTATTTGCTTTCATTGCTGCAACAAAATACCCAACAAGAGCAACTTTAGGAGGGAGGTTTAGTTCAGCTCTCAGTTTGAGGCAACCATTTGTTATGGCAGGGCAGGCTTGGTGGCAGGAGCTTGTGGCCACTGGTTACATTGCCCAGACAATCAGGAAGTGGAAAGATGTGGATGTCTGTGCTCAGCTTTCTTTGCCCTTCAGTCGGGGACCCCAGCCCACAGGATGTTGTCAGCCACGTTTACACAGGTCTACCCACCTCAGGGAATTAATCTAGATACCCCCCCTATACACAGGCCTACATATTTGTCTCTGAGATTACTCTAGGTCCTCTTAAGTTGACACTTGACATGAACTGTCACCCTGTATATATGTCCTTTTGTTTAATCTTCCCGAAGATCCCAGTGATGTAGTTGGCATTATTTCCATTTCAGGCTGGGCCTGTAGCTTGATTGGTAGAGTACTTGCCTAGAATGCATGAAGCCCTGGGTTCTAGTCTTAGTATAGCATAAACTGGGCTTGATCATCTCAGCATAGGGAGGTGGAGGCAGAAGAATCCCTGAGTTCAAGGTCAGCCTGGGCTACAGACTAAGTTCCAGGACAACCAGGACTATACAGAGAAACCCTGTCTCAAAAAACCAAAAACCAACCAACCAAATACTCCAAACTCACTAAATTAAAAGAAGTAAAAAGAAGGATCCGAAGTTCAAAGGTCATCCTTAGCTTGAGTCCTGGGCCTGGGAATCGTCTCAAAAAATTGATTTCCATTTTTCTGATGAAGAAGCTGGGGCAGAGGGATTCAGTGATTTCCTCACAGCAAAATAGTAGTAGGTGGTGCAGGGGGACACTCCTTGATGCCAGCAGTACTCTGCTTCTGGGAAAAGTTGCCCCATGGGAATGAAAAAATTTTTTAAATTGTTGTTGTTGCTTGTTGACACAGACCATGGAAAGCCAGCTCCTAGATCTGCTCCAGGTAATAAAAAGAAAGTCTCAGAGTAGTAAAGGTTTAGGAAAAATTCTTATCTATCTAAAAAGGGCTTTAGGGAAAGAACAGGTTCACACGATCTAAAGCTAACTTTCTTCATTCCTGTTTCTTTAAAAAATGCCTCCTCAAGTCAGGCAGTGTTATCTCACGCCTTTAATCCCAGGATTTGGGAGGCAGAGGCAGGCGGATCTCCTCAAGTTCCAGGATGACTAGTGCTGTTACACAGAGAAACCCTGTCTTGAAAAACAAAACAAGACAACAAAAAGTAAAACAACAACAAAAAACTCCCCTCTATGTAGCTTCCTAATTAGCTGTAGATCCTTCTCTTTGCTTGCTAGCCTGGCGGCCACTGCTGCTCAGCTGCCTCCACTCTCCCTCAGACAAAACTTGGACAATTATAAATTACATTTTCAGGGCTCTACCCATTTCTCATAACACATGATAAGTCACGTAGTTTCCCTTAGGCTATCGATGTCACATTGACCCATGCATGTAGCTCTAGGTTGGTGAGGGTTCCCAGAGAGAAAATGGAATTAGAATTCAAGACTTAACAATAACAATTAGCTGGACCGTGAGTGGTATAGAGTATGTGCAGACTAAAGTTGCTTCAAGCTCTGGCCTTGAATCAGTAAAACAACGCCTGGGAAAAAGGCCTTGTCTCTAGGAGGCAACCAGCCTGCTTTGACTCTGCTTTGAAGTCTAAAGTTAGCTTGTCTGTATTAAAGGCTGTGTCAGTCTGAGTAATGGAAAATATCCTAGTATTTCTATTCATCAAAATTATACAGTTTAAGCAGAATTCATCTTCCTGACTGTCCACAGCTATATGTGTGCCCAACAAATATAAAACACGCCCCCAAAGGGCCGTGGAAAGAACTCCACAGCTGTTCTTATTAGGGAGGTAAGTAATGGCACTTGAGAATGTTTTGGACAGGAACAACCAGTCATTTATAGTCAATAAACCTACAACTTTTCCAAGTAGGGCTCCCTAACAGTACCGAGAGGGGTGCATGGACATATTTTGCATTAAGCCAACATGGAGCAGCCAAACCATAGGCACAACACAGTGGTGAATTACTGAGGACTGCCGGTGAGGAAGTGGAGACATCAGAGAACACCATGAAGCTCAGAGCTGTCCATATGCAGAGCCTGAACTTGGCCAAGCTAGTGTCCTGCCCAAGAGCCATTTCATATATAAGAATGCTGAGTCCAGGGAGGGGAAACGCTGGAAAAGTTGGTGCCAAGCCAGCTCTGGGAGCCTGCAGGGAGAGGTGTGGGAGCCTTCAGCTGTCTCTCCCTCTGTGCTCACAAGACCACGGTGATTTGTGGAGGCTGTAGGGTGTATCCCTGCGCCAAGTTTTGGCTTTTAAATAGTGAAGAAATGCATATCACATCATATCATACCATACTATATAGTATAATGCCTACCATTTGGATCTTTGATCTTTGTTTTAGTCCTCAAGGACCTTGTCATTTACCTTCCCAGACAGACCTAGTTAAATGACACAGCCCAGGCAAGTGGCATTGTCAGAGTGAATACTGTCAGTGCAGGCACCCAGTGATAACTGCCATCTTGTCTCTTGGTGTCAGTTCTGTCTTCTGGGTGACTCAGAGCAGCCAGTGACTCTCTCCCTGCACCCGTTTCCCCATCTGCCTCCTCATTTTAGTTCTGTCACTAAGTATAAAGCTGCTGTCACTCTTCTTTGGCAGTGGATCCCATTGCCTCTGGGGGTGAATCCAGACTCACTGGTGTAAGCTTCGAGAACAGTGGCTACCTCCCAGTACCACTCAGCCCCTGCAGAAATCCAGAAAATCCAGTGGCGTCGGTGGCTGCTGCTTCTACAGTCTTGTCCTCCCCTTCCCCTCCCTCCTCCTCCTTGGTTTTATGTTTTGATTTTTGAGACCCGGTCTCACATAGTTTAGGTTGGTCTTGGATTATTGTGATGTAGCTGAGGATAACCTCGAACTCTGGATCCTCCTGCTTGTGCTTCCCAAGTGCTGGGAGTACTGGTGTGGGCTATCACCTCTAGCTTTGTCTGTTTGCGTACTAGGCATTGCACTCAAGGCAAGTGCTATCTGTGCCTCTGTCTACCTCACATCCCAGCTGGGGCAGCAGGTTCAGGGAGGTGAGGCAGCTTGCCCTCCTTTCCTTTCCGTTTATTACCACTTCTCTTTCCTCCTCTCTCTCTCTCCTCACTCTCTTTTCATTTCTTCCCACCCCTTCAGGGTCTCGTGTAGCCCAGGTTAGCCTCAGACTAACATCTGACCCTCCTGCCTCTACCTCCTGAGTACAGGAGTACCACCTCACCCAGTACCAAAAACAAAGCTTTGGCCAGGTTAGGCACCTGTGCTACATCACAGC